CAGCAGGAAACTTAGGTATTTAAAATAAGTTCAGTTATTAGAGTTTTGCTTTATATTATTTCAGACACAAAGCTATATATTTCAGCACAAAATTGTGTCCTTGCTCTTAATACTAAAAAAATTGACTACAGCTGTTTTAAATTGACTTGGAAGATGTAAGGGAAGACAGGCCTCAGTCCTGAGCATTTTGTGATTTGTTTGTACCCTTTGCCTTTTTACTGGCTAGAACTTTGTGAATTGTATTGACTTTCAAATTCTCTGTAGGTAACCCATGACTTTTGTTGTGTTTTAGTGCTGCTTTGGTTTTTTAATGAAATAGATATTAAGTCTGATTGAAAGTCTAAGAGTAGCCTCCAACTTTAATTAGACACGCACTAGGATCATTTGTTTCTTATGAAAAACAGAATTGTAATAATCAAGTGCCTCTAGGCCAATGTTGGATTAACATTTGAACACCTATGAGAGTGTTTGTGGCCTGTGCAAATAACTCAGCTACAATAATTACAACTGCAATTAATTTCTAGTGATGGGAAAGTTAAAGTGCTACTGATAGCAAACTCCACATTTAATTTAATCAAGATGGGTAATGAGATTAGCTTTCACAACTGAGCTGTGTTCCAATTCCAAATGATTTAAATGTTTTCCCTTTTCAGTTGTACTAAGGTAAATTACTGAAGAGATGGAAATGTCTGTGTCACATGCTGAAGCAATCTTACATTCTGTAAATACTCATTAAACAACGTTCAGCATCTTTCTGCACTTCTGCTTTGTAAAGCAGTGTGCTTTAAAACCAGGATGTGATTAAATCAAACATTGACAGTAGGTGGGTTGTTAAACTGAGCAACTGAAAATCAAGTAATTTCTAGCCTGTACGCATTAATGAGGTCAGAAACCACTGCAGTTTAACATAATACAATAATAAACCATTTTAATCAGTATTAAAACTTTAATTAGGCCCATAATGATGCACACCTGGTCTTGCTGAAAGCATGGGTCAGTGAATTTCTCTATCAGTGCCTTACAGTAATTAAAAACAAGCACACGTAAGGTAAAGTATGTCTGGGCTGCGCTGTCTTGTTTTAAAATGTGGTTGTATCTTTCTTTGAAGGTGTGGTAACTTTTCTCTGGTTGCAGTGAGAGCTTCTGAGATCAGTGGTGCCCTGTCCTGATCAGAATTTACTTGTAGGGAACAGCTGAAACCAAGAAGTCCTCACTGTAAAGGTAGTTATTATTACCTAAACTTTTTAAAAAAACAACACAGTCTCTAACACTGCCAATGGAGAAACTTAACCTTTTTGTAGAAACTACCAAGTGCAATTTTTTTTTTTTGTTTCCAGGTTTTTTTAAAAGCAAAATAAAGCCCAAGTTTCCATAGGTCTTGGGAAAGCATAAAAACCAATGGCTGCCACAAGCCAGAACCACCACAGTAACATGTTTTTTTTCTTGCAACACAAGCATCCCCTACAGTCGCACACCACAAATCTTAAGTATTAGATACAAAGTATTTTGGAGAATGCTTAACTCTTGCACTTCAGAGTCTTTAAAGCCTTGTATCCTAAAGATTAATACTGAAGGTGTAGTTCATGGACCATGTAGTACAGGGTTCAGAAGATAAATCAATCTCCTTAAAACAGTAAAATAGAAAATGCCAAATCACTTACCAGCTCAGAGGAAAAGCAACCCATGCCTCAGCATAGCCCTTGAAGAGCAGGAGTAGCTGCTGCCATCCCTGATTTAAAGGCTTTCCCTCCTGAGCAGAGCCAGCTGGGGAGGATGGGGCAGCTGGGGCTGCCTGGGCCCTGCTGGCCACAAGGGCTGCCTTTCCTCTCTTGAGCTGGGGTGAAAGACTCTAGAGGTCCAGGAGGTAAGTGGTGCTTTAGTTGGCTGATCAGTATTTCCTGTTTCCCATGTCTTGCTATGATCTATATTCAGTGCATTAAAACTGTGCAATTTAAATGAAAATGACTTTACCTATTTCTGAACTACATCATCCTGATGCACCTTATTTCCAAGGGGTTGCTGGGGCATCACTAAGGATGATCCCCCAGGGCCAGCCCTCGAGGCAAGGCGGTCACCTCAATCCTACCCCTATCTAGCACTGGGAATGGCACCGTTACTTCTTGTCCACAAGGACTTCTAAGCTGTGCATTATCAGTGGGATTGGGGTATGAACAACTTTTTTTTAGATCACAGGAATGTTATCAAGTAGCAAGAATGTTTTTAGGGGAGAAAAACCTTTGAGGTCCATAAGTATATTTTAATTTCTTGTTTCAGTGTTCTGCCAGTAAGATCTAACATAGTTATTTTATAGTAAGTTGTTGTACAGAGATGTAATGACTATTGTATATGAAATAAATTGTGTAATTTGAAAATTACTTCTTTTTATTGTTTTTATTGATTGGCTGGATTGAGAAAGGTGCAGCTAGGGAACCAGCTTTGTTTCAGTTCATACAGAAGAAAACAAAAGTATTTTTCAGCAGAAAGTTTTTACTTTTCTCAAGCTTGTTACATTGCCTGGACTTTTCTGTTCCAAGTTAAATGTGCCTCAGCTGTGATTTTCACCAGTCATCCCCAATAGGCTTCACTTTATCAAGGTGACTGAGGCAGTTACTCCAACTCAGCATTCATTCAGTTGCTCTGACCAGTAGGAATCTGCTTGTCCCCACACCGTAACTCAAGCTGTAATATTGTTAATTAAACACGCATTGTCTGGGAGAAAGGTGTCACGTATCAAGTGCTGTCTGAGCTCCTAGAGGAGTGAGCGTTCCCAGGCGGGGGGGGGCGGGATGAGCAGAGCTGCGTGTCCAGCTGCCCGAGCTGCAGCTGCAGCTCCTCGTCTGCTGCTCTGCTCTTGCTGATGAGGACTGCAGGACTTCGATGAAATTCATTAATGGAATGTGATCATAACGTGGTGTGCTTGTACAGAGGGAGTTCTAGGTTCCAAACAATCAGGTTTCTTAACATCTCATTCCTCAAGTTGCCAAAATTGTGATACAGGATATTTCTTTAAATCCCCAGGAAAAGGCCATGGTTTGTGTAATTTCTGTCATGAAGAAAAATGCTCAACTTCCTTCTCTGCTCCTCATCCTCAGCAATGGGAACGTGTCTTTTGAGTGCATAACTAGAGCTGGAGGCCATACACATCAATGGGAAGCTACTGCTGTATCACTTAGCTTTCCAAACAGAGCAGCATGTGTGAGTGGTATCTGACCAAAGCTGAGAGAGAAATAATTCAGTAGAGCCCAAACTTTAGTCAACCTTAAATACATGCAAGGAAGAGACAGCATATAAGAAAACTTTATTATTTATACAGTGCCTTGGATACATGTGACACTGCACAAGCAAACCAAGACAGTCCTTGCCCCAAGAATCTTACAAGCTAAATTAATTAAACCAGCCAAAATAACAGCATATCCATAGTTACAGAAAGAAGACAAGGTATGTGGACAAAATTACTGCTGTTAGGGAAAGGAACATATTTTTGTGCATAGTATTTATTTCAGTTTCCAAATCCTGTTTGTAACTGCTATGATTGGGAAATACAGAAGCTGACAGACCTGACCCGTCAATGTTGGAAGGTACTTTAGCCTGTGTTTCCTCACAAGTAAATGTGTCAGTAAAATTACAAAGCTACAGACTGTCTAAGCTGTGGATCAAAACTATGAGGCATGGGTAGAACAGCATTCTACTTTTCCAGGTGAAAAAGCCACAATATGAGCAGCATGTAACCATTAGTTAATGGGATGCTCAAAAATTTCCAAAGTGGCTCACAAATGTGTGCAAGGACAAGAAACTGAACATTTCTCATTTGGGAAATGTGCTAATTAACCTGTTTTGCAGGCTGCGCTGAGCTATTTGTGTTATGTTTAAATACATACAAAAAATACAAGCCATACCTCCCAAGATAATGCTGCAACTGTAAGCAAAGCAGTTTTTATGTCTTGCAATACATTGTTTTATGCCTTCATTTAATGAAACAAATTATCTTAGAATCTATATAACATATTCATATATTCAGCTGGTAAGATTTACTTATTATATATAAAGAAACAG